TCCCCACCTGCGATGGTGGCGGCGACCGTGCGGCCTGGGCGGCCCAGGAGCATCAACATCAACGATCTGCATGTTTCTCTTGGCCACACCAACGACGCGAATGCACGGGAGACCGCGAAGCAGCTGGGGATTCAGGTGACCGGTACCCGGGGATACTGCGCTGGCTGCGGTGAGGCGAAGGCGATTCGACGCAGCGTTCCGAAGGAGACGAAAGCCAAGGCGGGGAGACCGTTTGGGCGTGTCTTCATCGATCTGACGGGCCCATATCCGCCGTCCACCGGTGGCGCTCGGTACTGCATGATGGTGGTGGACGACTACTCCAACGTCGGATGGACGCTGTTTCTGGCGGACAAGGGCGGTTCCACTCTGTGTGACGCTTTTCGCGCGTGGTACGTTGACACCAAGCAGTTGGCGGGGACTCACGGTGGGTTAGGCGTTGCTCGCTTTGATAACGGGACCGAGTTTACCAACACCGAATTCCGGCACTTGCTGTCTGAGCTCGGAGTTGCAGTGGAATTCACCCCCGTCGATGGTGCGAAGCGCAACGGGCGCGCGGAGCGGAAGATCGCGCTTGTCGTTGAAGGGGGCAAGGCGGCGTGGTTGGAGTTCCCACGGCTCTTCCCAGACTTGGAGTTTCCTCGAAAGGCGATGGCGTGGACGACGATCTGGCCAAAGGCGCTTGCTTGGATGAACGACACGCTCAACATGACCGCGCAAGCTCACACACCCGACAAGCTATGCCCGTGGGAGAAGCTCTACAAGCGACGTGCCACAACCCTTCCACTGCCGTTCATGATGCCCGGCTTCCGTCACCGCAACCGGAAGAACAAGACCGAGTCGAAGGGGGAGCGCTGTTTTTATCTCAACACCGGCAACAACCACTCGTCTACTACGCACAAGATCCTCCTCTCCTCAGGGGTCTGCAGCTACTCCGCGGACGTCACTTGGGGCTATCGTCGGGCGCCTTTCGTTGGGGAGGTACCCACGTGGGGGGGCGGAGCAGTAGTGGAAGCGACGGAACCTTTCGGGGGGCTGGGGGCAGCGACTGGAGCGGCGGGAGCAGCGGTAGCACCTGCAGCTGGAGTGGCGGCCCCCGGCAGCAGTGTCTTCCCCGCAGCGGCGGTGGGGGAGACGGCCGGGGGGCAGGCCCTCGCGGCAGGAGCGGCGGCATCGGCGGCAGCACCTGCAGCTGGAGCGGCGGCCCCCGGCAGCAGTGGTTTCCCCGCAGCGGCGGTGGGGGAGACGGCAGGGGTGCAGACCCTCGCGGCAGGAGCGGCGGCATCGGCGGCAGCACCTGCAGCTGGAGCGGCGGCCCTCGGCCGCAGTGTCTTCCCCCCGGCGGCGGTGGGGGAGGCGGCCGGGGCGCAGGCCCTCGCGGCGGGAACGGAGACATCGACAGCAGCTGGAGCGGCGGGAGCGGTGATCATCCCCACGGCGGGTGCTGGCGTAGCGGCGGGGACGGAGATTCTCTCGGATGGGGCGGCGGCACCGGTGGTGGGGGCAACGGCAGGTGACCCTCCCATGACGGCGGCGGTGGAGCTAGATTGGGCTGACATATACCACGCACCACCCGAGCGGAGGATGACTCACCGGCAGCAGCACGAGGTGACGCCTGCCGTCACGAGGTCGGGGTCTCGCAGAACCGGTATGCCAGGTGCTTTCGCGCTGCTGGCGGCGGATGAGCAGATGACCCGTTCTCTCAGTGGCCCCACAGCTGACATCGATGACCCCGCGTTGCCAAATGGTTTGGTTCCCGACTTGGAGACTCCGGAAACGTACAAGCAAGCCCATGCCGGACCGCATGATGTCATTTGGCGTGCGGCGGAGCGCAAGGAGATTGCTGGGCTTTCGGCGGCGGGGACGTTCGAGACGATGGCGGCGGGGGAGTAGCAACGAGGAATGAACGTGATCACGGCCAAGTGGGTTTACGCGTGGAAGGGGAACGAGTATGGCCGTGCTGTGCGTGCAAAGGCGAGGTTGGTGGCTCGCGGTTTCGGTCAACGTGAAGGTATTGATTTCTTTGAAACCTTCTCCCCGTGCCCGTCCGTCACTAGTATCCGTTTGTTAGCAGCTCTTGCGTGTGATTTGGGTTTGGACTTGTGTCATTTCGACGCGGAGCAGGCTTTTGTTCAATCAGAGTTGGTGGAGTTTGTGTACCTCCGTCTGCCGCAGGGCTGCGGTGCTCTTTCTGGTAAGATTGTTAGCTCCGTCGTAGTTTCTACGGCTGGAAGCAAGCATCCCGCACGTGGCATAAACACTTGGTGAGGGGAATGAAGTGTCTGGGTTTCGAACAGTGTGCTGCCGATGCTTGCGTCATGCGCTTGATCGAAGAGGGGGTTGTCGCCATGGTTGTTGTCGTCCATGTCGATGACATTTTTTCCATCGGGAAGAAGAGTCGGTGTGAGCAATTTGGTAGGGACTTGAACGAGTACGTTCCCATCACCAACCTTGGAGAACTTCGCTTGTACGCTGGTATTCGCTTTTCGCGTGATTTTGCTCAGGGCACCATTACGCTTTCTCAACAGACGTACGCCACCAACATGGTCGCGAAGTTTGGTGTCACCCGTAACAAAGAAACCCCCATGGCCGTTGGCGTGAAGCTTGAGGAGTTTGATGCGTGTGAACCCGACGTTGAAGAGCCGTTCCGTTCTTTGGTGGGGCACTTGATGTGGCTTGCGAATCAAACTCGCCCGGATATCCTCAACGCCGTCCGGGCTGTTGCGCAGTATTCTTACGCGCCCAAGTCCGTGCACTGGAAGGCTTCGTTGCACATTGTGATGTACATTAGATGCACGAGTGCGTACGATATTACATTGACGGCGGCGGTGGAGCTAGATTGGGCTGACATATACCACGCACCACCCGAGCGGAGGATGACTCACCGGCAGCAGCACGAGGTGACGCCTGCCGTCACGAGGTCGGGGTCTCGCAGAACCGGTATGCCAGGTGCTTTCGCGCTGCTGGCGGCGGATGAGCGGATGACCCTCTCAGTGGCCCCACAGCTGACATCGATGACCCCGCGTTGCCAGATGGTTTGGTTGCCGACTTGGAGACTCCGGAAACGTACAAGCAAGCCCATCCCGGACCGCATGGTCTCATTTGGCGTGCGGCGGAGCGCAAAGAGATTGCTGGGCTTTCGGCGGCGGGGACGTTCGAGACGATGGCGGCGGGGGAGTAGCAACGAGGAATGAACGTGATCACGGCCAAGTGGGTTTACGCGTGGAAGGGGAACGAGTATGACCGTGCTGTGCGTGCAAAGGCGAGGTTGGTGGCTCGCGGTTTCGGTCAACGTGAAGGTATTGATTTCTTTGAAACCTTCTCCCCGTGCCCGTCCGTCACTAGTATCCGTTTGTTGGCAGCTCTTGCGTGTGAGTTGGGTTTGGACTTGTGCCATTTCGACGCAGAGCAGGCGTTTGTTCAATCAGAGTTAGTGGAGTGTGTGTACCTCCGTCTGCCGCAGGGCTGCGGTGCTCTTTCTGGTAAGATTGTTCGTCTCCGTCGTAGTCTCTACGGCTTGAAGCAAGCATCCCGCACGTGGCATAAACACTTGGTGAGGGGCATGAAGTGTCTGGGTTTCGAACAGTGTGCTGCCGATGCTTGCGTCATGCGCTTGATCGAAGAGGGGGTTGTCGCCATGGTTGTTGTCGTCCATGTCGATGACATTTTTTCCATCGGGAAGAAGAGTCGGTGTGAGCAATTTGGTAGGGACTTGAACGAGTACGTTCCCATCACCAACCTTGGAGAACTTCGCTTGTACGCTGGTATTCGCTTTTCGCGTGATTTTGCTCAGGGCACCATTACGCTTTCTCAACAGACGTACGCCACCAACATGGTCGCGAAGTTTGGTGTCACCCGTAACAAAGAAACCCCCATGGCCGTTGGCGTGAAGCTTGAGGAGTTTGATGCGTGTGAACCCGACGTTGAAGAGCCGTTCCGTTCTTTGGTGGGGCACTTGATGTGGCTTGCGAATCAAACTCGCCCGGATATCCTCAACGCCGTCCGGGCTGTTGCGCGGTATTCTTACGCGCCCAAGTCCGTGCACTGGAAGGCTGCGTTGCACATTGTGATGTACATTAGATGCACGAGTGCGTACGGTATTACATTTCAGCGGGGTACGGCAGGTGGTGTTAGCTTGGAGGTGTACGTGGATTCGGACTACGCTAGCAAAGCGACGGACAGGCGATCTGTGTCGGGAGGTGTTGTCATGTGTGCGGGGTCCTGCGTGTCGTTCTTCTCTCGGACTCAGAAGAGCGTCACGCTGTCTTCTACGGAAGCTGAGTACGCTGCGATGGCCGATGGCATGAAGGAGGCGATTTTCTTGCGGTATCTCTGGAGTTTTATCTTTCCGGATGGGGATGTGGGGTGCACTGTGATCAAGGAGGACAATGTCGGGGCGCTTCATTTGGCCAACAACCCTGCCACCACCCCCAACTCCAAGCACATTGACGTCCGCCACCATTTTATTCGGGAGCGTGTTGACCGGGGGGAGTTCAAGGTCGTTTATGTCCCGTCGCATTTGCAGCACGCCGACTTTCTTACGAAACCACTGCCCAAGGAGGCGTTTTCAGTACACCGCAACTTTGTCATGAACCTTTGAGACCTTCTTGGTTGGGCTGTTTGTGTCATGTTTATGTTTGGCGGCATTTATTTTGGCTGCTGTTCGATTTTTCTTAATGTTGTTTGTGTGTTTTGCTGGCACTGCTGTCGAAAATCATGGGGGGGGATGAATGTGATTGTGATGCCATGATCCTCGTCGCAGTACAAGCAGCGTTCTAGCAGACGTTCGGGTTTGGTTTTTGTTCATTTTGTAAACGTTTTCCCCGTTTTACCTGCGGAAAATGAGAATTTCTTGTTTGTTTCCGATTCCGCGTTTTACCTGCGGCTTTCGGAGATAAGTTCATGATATTTGTTTGTTTTCTCGTTGTTAGTATTCGAGAGTTGTGCCTTGCATGTATTGCTATAGGACGGATTGAGTTCCATGGTCGGAGATATGTCGAAGGGGAGTCGTCAATCGGTATATGTTTTGTATTCTGTTTCTTGCAATCCAGACGAAATACTGGATGGCTTGCATTTTCTGTTTCGGGAGTTATTTCAGCAGGGGGGCTGTTAAGCTTTTGTGTTTTGGGAGATGATGCAGCAGGGGGGCTGTTAAGCTTTTATGTTTTGGGAGATACTGCAGCAGGAGGGCTGTTAAGAAATCCATGTCTTGATGTTTGAGAAACGGCATAATTGGTGAAAGTTTCCTCTGGCGTCTTCGACCGCCGGGTTTTTAACCTTTGTCTGTTTTTGCCGTATGTATTTGGTATTGATGGTGGTTCTGAACGATGTATTGGAGGAAGGATTTGGCATATTTTGGTAAGACATGGTTGAGGCCTATGTGCTTCCGAAGCTTATTTGAGATTGGTCAATGAGCTGAAACATGGTTTTGTGCGAGGATCTTGTCCGAAGTAATAGTTGACACGCTTTTCCGGAGTTGTCCGTCCAAAGTCTTCATGACGTGACTCTGATGTAATGTTGATCTTTGCGGAGTATTTTTCTAAGGATGATTCTTGGTTTTTGGCTGCTTGAGAATTTGGTGACGACATTTTCTCGAGAGGGATGATTGTTAAGACTCTAGTGAAGTTCCAACATACACAGTGGATTAATGAGGAATAGTAACTTGAAATTTGAATATTCAATAGATCGGGAAGTTGAGATGATTTGTGAATAATATTATGAAAGATGAATGGTTTTGGTTTTGTTGCCGTTTTACCTGGCGATATGTACGGAAGGTTCGTAGATCGTATCTCGTACCGAGTACGGGGGCTGTTTGTGTATGTACTCGGCAGGATACAGATCTCCGAGATATCCGAGGGGGTACGCAGATATGATAGGTTTGGGTATATGCAGACGTGTGTGCAGCAGCAGGTCCTTCTTGCCTGCTGCTCATGCTTGTCACTCGTTAATACCTCGTTAATAGTTAATCAAGGAACTTGAGTCACTCCTTTGTGCAACACGCTCTCGACAAGAGCCCGCGAGCGTGATGACATAGTACACGCGCCGACACCCCAAACAATGGCTCGCCCCCTTGGTGCTCGCCCCCACTCGCTCAATTTCTCATCTTCTCTCTCCTTCTTCTTCTCCTTTCCCTCTTCTGACCTTTCGGCTAACTTTAGGGCCGTTTTAGACTAGACTAGACTACTAGTCTAGACCATTCCAAGCGCCAATACAACCATATCACTAGTAACTGCAGTGCACTAGACTATACAGTCACTCTGTGAGCCTCTGCACACTGTTACTAGGTAGTCTACACAGTGGCCACTGCCAGGGATACACCTATCACAAAGGTTACATCGCAACACATGTGACCCCGGTTGGGTCGTCTAGCTGGTAGAAGAAGTGGAGGATAGGGGCCAGAGGGGCAGACGACAGTCCAATGATGGGAGACAACAAAAAAATTGCAATAAATATAGTTTTCTTCGCTCTACGGGTGACTCTACCCGCCGAAGTTCTTGTCTTCCAGCGAAGATCTGCAATGGACCCCGTTCTTTTCTTGACCTCGAGTTTGGACACCTCGATACGGGTTCTTGTTCTTATGTCAGGTCAGAACTGAGTACCTGTTCTTGTGGCCGAGTTCTTACGTTTTGGATTTTTTGAGCCGCATGTGTGTCCTTTGGTGCGGGCGCCATCTGTAGTACCCAATTCGGTCCAACGCGAGGTACCCCGATCTCGCGACCGCGGGTAACTCATATCAGCCAAACTCGGGACCACACGGGGCTACTGTACGTTCCCTTCAAGGCTTGAGCTCATGTCTCCGTGGTGGTCTTTGCGTGGTCTAAGCCCACTGGCGGGCCTCGGCCCACCTCGGCAAGGACAGACCGGAGATTGTATGCATATACGTTCACAGCAGTACGGGCTCCCATTTTTAGAGCTAATGTGAGAAACAACAACAACAACATCCCATTTGTGTGAAAGAGGCAAAGGGGGGGCGCGCGGTGGAGAATCACCTCGTAACTATTACACTTCTTGAGGTCTGACCCACCAGGGTGACATTGCAGTAGTTTAATCTAGTTTTAATTTAGTTAATTAACAGTTACGCGCTTGTGCATATATATTGACCACCTTTGTCGGTGTCCGACAAGGAATATTCTCAAATATTATCAAATTTTCTCATATGTTACTACATATTATTAGCACTATAGCACTCATAAGCTCAACGAGATTACCATACTAATACGAGACACACACAACTTTAAATAAGTTACACCATGTTAAACCCCCCCCCCCCCCCCCCCCCC